GTGTGTGTGTGTGTGTGTGTGTGTGTGTGTGTGTGTGTGTGTGTGTGAGCGCGCGTGCGCGCACCCGGAGCCCACGCTCGCGGGCTGCGCGGGATGTAAATAGCACACCTCCCTGGCCGCCTGCGAGTGCCAAGCCGGATCCGTGGGCTCCCAGCGCGCTGCGACAACGCGCCGGCATCTCTTTGTTTGGTTGTGGCTTCCCCACCTCTCCGCGATGCAAATTGATTTTCTGTTTCGCTTGACACAGCGCGCTGGGACTTCGTGTGGGCCGCAGCCTCGAACGCTCCTGGTATTTGTAATTGAATAGTTCTCCCCGGCGGCTGGGGGCAGGGGTGTTATTTTTAGTGTTGGGAATAAAGAGGCAAGCACTCTGACCTTTTTGCTGTTGCCTTGGGCTTTGAATACGTGTCTCTGATGGAGAAGACGGATTCACATCCAGTCGCGCACAGGTGCCTGCGCACAATTGTGTACACACATTTCTACACACCTAGCTTTCCCCCTTTCTTTTATTTTTAAAAATCGGGAGTGGGAGTGCACAGTGTTTGTAAACCAAAACCAAAACCAAAAAACTTTCCTTTGTTCTTTTGGGCCTTTTCCATTTTGAGTAATGGAGTAGGAGTGCCAAAAGGTTGCAATTAGTTCACTAGGATAAAAGACACTGTCTCTGAGTCAGAGCTGCCAGTTTGATAATTATTAACGTATAAAAGCAGATGCGCTGTTTAAGGCAAAAGGGGCGGGGCGGGGGCAGGTCCACAGTAGACAATGAGGGAGGGTCTCTGCCGACCGCCTGCTGCTTATTGTTCCGGCACTAGAGGCTGCAGCCTGTAGCCGCCTCCTCCTCTAGGGCTTCGCTCCTCTGTCATCCCTCGGTCTCACTTGGGACCTTCCGAGTGCCCCAGCGCTGTCCCCCGGGGCGCCGGGACGCCAGTCCCAGCCGCAGCCGCCCTTCGCTGACCGCCCTCTCTCTGCTTTGCAGGTTGGCAGCTTTGCGCCCGAGGGTGTCGCGAGCCGAGGCGTTGAGGACCGAGCGCCTCTGGCCCAGCCAGCCGGGCGGGATGCGGCGCGGGCTGCAGCGCTAACCGCCCCCACGCTGGGCACTGGGCGTACGCGCTCCGGGCTGCAGGCGGAGCGGCGGCGGCGGAGGGGGGGATGCGCCCGGGACGCGCAAGGCTCCTGCCGCGAGCTGCCAACCCGAGGTGGACCCTAAGGGCTCATCGCAGGACCGCGTGGACCCCTGCCCTCCGGGGCACGCGGCTGAGGAGCCTCGGGGCCGCGTCTGCGGTCAGGATGCTCTGGGCACCTCCCTGCTGGTGAGGATGCCCTACTGCGCGGCTCCGCATCCCCAGCCCCGGTCCCTGGTGGGCACGACTGCCTGGGCCCGGCTTCGGCCCCTCCTGCCGGTGGATGAAAAGGGCCGGAGTCCTTGAGTGCGACCGGCTATCGAATCTGAATTCTACGAGCCATGGAAGGAGGCACTGGGCTGCAGCCCCAGGCGGGAGAGCAGCTGGAGGCCAGCGCCAGAGTAGGAGCGGTCCAAGAGAAGTGCGAACCCGAGACCTTTAGGTCCAAGAGTTTACCCGCCCTGAACAGCGCCTCCTGCAGGCCAGACCTGAATCCTGCCGGAGAAGACTCCAAGCCCGCCTCTGGCCATCAGGAGTTGAAGCCAGGCCCTGGCCCGCGGGCCCCCAGCCCCTCCGTCCCGTCTACTTCGGCAGAGATGGCAGGGCTGGTGGAAAGTCACCACAGGGTGGAAATCGGCAAACCCATATCGGTGTCCTCCACTTTGGCCATGCTCCAGGGCAGAAGGTGCTTCTATGTGGTCCTCACCGATTCCCGCTGTTTCCTGGTTTGCATGTGCTTTCTGACCTTCATCCAGGCGTTAATGGTCTCCGGGTACCTGAGCAGTGTCATCACCACCATCGAAAGGCGCTACAGTCTGAAGAGTTCCGAGTCAGGGCTGCTGGTCAGCTGCTTTGACATCGGGAGCCTGGTGGTGGTAGTGTTCGTCAGCTACTTCGGCGGCCGGGGGCGGCGGCCCCTGTGGCTGGCCGTGGGAGGACTCCTCATTGCCCTGGGGGCCGCCCTTTTCGCTTTACCTCACTTCATCTCGCCCCCCTACCAGATCCAAGAGCTGAACGCCTCGGCGGCCAACTACGGCCTGTGTCAGAATGGCAACTCCTCGGCCACGACGGAGCCTCCCACCTGCCTCAAGGACTCGGGGGGAAACAGTCACTGGGTCTATGTGGCTTTATTCGTTTGCGCGCAGATTCTCATTGGAATGGGCTCCACACCTATTTATACCCTGGGACCAACCTACTTAGACGACAATGTCAAGAAAGAAAATGCATCCTTGTACCTAGGTAAGACTTTCCTCTCAGATAAGCTTGCACTCAAAAATCAAAAGGAAGCACTTTCACATTTTACTGGATGTTGTATATTGTGTATAATATATGGCATTATATCATATATATGCATTAAGCTTCAGTTTATCTTCTTTTTCTTTTTTTTTTGGCCTTAGTGTGGTGTGTTTTCTGTTTGGGAAAGAATCAAATAGTTGAGCGTTCTTTGAACTAATTTTCAGACTCACACTTGTCTTTTCCCAAGTAATACAAACTTTTAACTGTGGGGTGGTGCTTCTCTCTGTTGCTGCCTATCTTTGGAAAAGCTCGAATTTATCAAGCTTATCTTCTCAAAGCTGTCCTTCTAGAAGGGTCAGGAAGGAATAGAAGTAACTGCTGTGTGTGGAATAAGGTTATTCTTTCATCCACAGCTGCTTCTCATTCCTGCCCCCAAGAGCAGAGTTAGTGGAGAACCCAGACTACATGAAACACACTTTATTGACTTCATATCTGTATTTATTACGTATCATCTGCGTCGCTATTTAAAAAAAACTTGAATGATATCGAATGACTAGATTATCTTTATACAGAAGCAACATCACAGGTTGTAAAGTTTATCCAAAACGATTTTTGTTGTTGGTTTGAAGACCCTCAGTTACAGGATATTGGGGGAAACATCATTACTATTTTCTGAAAAGCAGTACTCTTGGACAGTGAAAGGGCAGTGGAAGTGATACTCAATGAAGAGGGCTATGCGTTTTGCTCAGTATGCTGTCCCCAGAATCGGTTACAGAGGGTGTCTGAGCCATTTATAGTCCCCAGTAACTGGCCCAAATGCATCAGGACAAGAGTTTTATAATTTGTTTTTATTATTAAATGTAAGAGAAAGAAATTTCTATTCAGGCAGAGAGGAATAGCTTGCTTGTTACTTTGCCTCCATGTTTTCTAACATTTGTTGTGACAAATTTTCAAACATCCAGGAAAGTTGAAACAACAGTTCAATGAACGTCAGTGTATCCACCACCTAGACTCAATAATTGTTCACTTTATCATATTTACTTTATCAGTTTGTGTGTGTGTATAGAAATATATATATTTTTGGATGGGAGGTTAAGCCCTTTGAAAGTAATTATAGACACCTTTAGGCTTCAGCACATATCTTCTGAAAATAAGGACATTCTTTTACATAACTCAGGAGCTTAAACTTCCTAAGAAAGCTAATAACCATTCCATATGGTCATCAAATTCCAGTCCATATTCAAATTTCCTTAATTGCCCACTCAGTCTTTTTTAGCTATATACATTTTCTTTTTTAAAAAAATTTATTACTGATATTTATTTTTTTTAAGTAATTTTAATTAATTAATTAATTAATTTATTGGCTGCGTTGGGTCTTCGTTGCAGGCTTTCTCTAGTTGCGGTAAGCAGGGGCTACTCTTCGTTGTGGTGCACGGGCTTCTCACTGCGGTGACTTCTCTAGTTGCTGAGCATGGGCTCTAGGTGCGTGGGCTTCAGTAGTTGTGGCACATGGGCTCAGTAGTTGTGGCTCGTGGGCTCTAGAGCACAGGCTCTGTAGTTGTGGCGCACGGGCTTAGTTGCTCCGCTGCATGTGGGATCTTCCCGGACCAGGGATCTACCCTGTGTCCCCTGCATTGGCAGGCGGATTCTTAACCACTGTGCCACCAGGGAAGTCTGCTACATACATTTTCAAACCAGGAGCCAGTTGAGATTCATTTATACACTGCATTTGGCTGTTTGCCTTCTTAGCATTTGCTAAACTAGAACAGTGCCTCAACTTTTTTCTTTCTCTACCACGTAGACTTTTTGAAGTGACAAGGCTAGTTGATTTGTGGAATGTTCCACATTCTAGATTTAATCTGATTATTTCCTCGTGGTGTCACTTACCTTGTTCCTCCATTCCCTATATTTCTTGTAAACCGGGAGTTCAAAGGTGTAATTCGATTCAGACGAAACGTTCTCGGCCAGACTACTTCACAGGTGACACTCCGTGTTTTCGATTAGATCCATCTGGCCATTCATTAGTGTTGATGAATTTAATCACTTAGTTGCGTGGGTGATTGCCAGGTCTTTCCATTGCAATCACACGTTTCTCTCTTTGAAAATAATCAGCAATCTTTAGAGTGACACCTTGACCCTGTAAATATCCCAATTGTTTTCTTTATTCTTACTGATCTTTTCCTCCATTTACTTTGAAAACTCGAGTCTCCCTTCCATCCCGCTTCTAGGTACCACTGACACAAATCTGCTTCATGAAAAACACAGGCAGAGCCCCACGCAAAGAGAGAACATCCACTAGTAAGAGCCCTGAGATTTAACTTTTCTGGTAGTGGTTGCCCATCAAGAATGAAAAGAGCAAGTACGTATTCTGTGCTGAGCACTGTACTCCTTATGGGAAGACCGAAAATGAGACACAATCCCAGCAACTGAGGTGCCTTCAATGTAATGAAGAAATATTTCCAGTTTAAGGTAACAAGCGAAGTGACATGTGAAAGGGGAAGAAAGTTCTACAGATGGGATTTGCTCCCGCCCCCCCTCCTCCACCTACCGCCTCCTCCTCTCCTTCTTTAGATATTGACTAATAATTGGCTCTTCTGGAAAACATTTTGATGAATGCCTTAGGACACATTCTTTGGGAAACTCATGAGAATTCTGCTTGTTACATGGCTCTGTTTATTACATGGCTCTCAGTAAAAGCTCCAGTGGTTTGAGTACCAGGAATCTTACCTGTATTCTTTGATTTAATGTTCTTAATGGCCTTATGAGATGGGAATTGTGGGAATTGTTTTCCCTGTTTTATGAATGAGGAAACAAAGGCTCAGAAAATTTAAGTGGCTTGCTTATGGGCGTCAAACCCACGCCTGTCTGACCCCAGAGACCTTGAACTTCCCTCCACGCCGTGTGCTTTTTGGCAAGAGGATCTGAAAGTCAACTGAAACCAAAAGATGGGCCACGTTCAGTAGAGTTCTGAATATGGTGCAGAAGGATGCAGAACTGGCCTAAAGTCATCAAAACATGATCAAAACGAGACCATTCTTTAGACCTTTTAAAGCAGCTTTTACAGGTTACCTCCATACAAATTCAAATCAGGGAGACTACTATATTCTTAGAACATGAGCAGTGTTAACCCATTACCACATGGGATTTTTCCTAATAAATAACGGGTTATATATCTTTGTTATTTTCTGCAAAACTGTTCTTCTATATTACCTTGTCCGCTCCCCACCCTTTTCTTAAGTTTTTGGTCAGTCTTTCTAACTGATGACAACCATAGAAGAAGAAGGGGGAAAAAAAGCAGGTAGCAGATTAATAATTGCAGGCAGGAACAAATATCTGAATTAAAGTAGAAACCATTGAAATGGAATGTAAATGTATACCTTAATCTTTTGAAAGTTCCGGTGTTAACATTCTGGCAGCTTTCAGCGTAGAAGAGATGTGGTCGTAGATGAGATCCAGCGGTCTTTGCACCCATTCAATGCCCTAACTCCTGCAAGGAGAGAGGCTCAGCGTTGACCCGGAGCATAGAGAAAGCTTTGTAGTTATGAAGAAGTAAGGTTAGCAAGTGCACCATGGTTTGTAATTGTATCTCAAGGAGAGAGAGAAAGTGTGACCTTTTGCAGGGCAAGATATTCATGAACCAAACAGGGAAGCAAGAGAGAATGGCTAACCAGGTGGGGAAAGGAAGAAAAAGGACGCTTTTCTAGAATAGAAAGCCACAGCTCCGATTGGGTGATTTTCAGGATAGGTGAGGATTGGCAATGGGCCAGCCATTGGTCAAGTGGTGTGGGGACAGCCACCCCACCTCCCTGGTGTGTCCCCTGTCACTTCACACCCCAGAGAAGGGTCGGAGTTGGGACAGTGCCTTAGAAAGAGCACCGGACGGGGCTGATCTGTATTTTCGTCTGGCTCTACCAGTGACTGGTCAGGAGACAGATCTGATCGTAGACAAATCCCTTAACTTCTCCCAGCCTCTGTCTCCACCTGGGGATTGTTACATTTGTTTCCCGCACGGTAATATTTTGAGGAGCAAATGGGATTACATGGGGGTAAGCACTGGGCCAACTGGAAGCGGCAGCACTTTGCTGGGTTAGAAGCGAATTCAGACTCACCCTGGAGAGTGGGCAGAGTGAAGAGTGGAAGATATTCTACTCCATCTGAGCACCAAAACCTTTAAACGTATCTCTTTACAATTGGGAAAAAGGAGAGAAGCATTATGTAGGAAATTAAAACTTTGTATGGGAAATCACTCCTTAGACATTGTACAGGACAATGTTTTTTTTTTTTTAGAAGATGTTGGGGGTAGGAGTTTATTAATTAATTTATTTATTTTTGCTGTGCTGGGTCTTCGTTTCTGTGCGAGGGCTTTCTCTAGTTGTGGCAAGCGGGGGCCACTCTTCATCGCGGTGCGCGGGCCTCTCACTATCGCGGCCTCTCTTGTTGCGGAGCATGGGCTCCAGACGCGAAGGCTCAGTAGTTGTGGCGCACGGGCCCAGTTGCTCCGTGGCATGTGGGATCCTCCCAGACCTGATCTTGAACCTGTGTCCCCTGCATTGGCAGGCGGAGTCTTTACCACTGTGCCATCGGGGAAGCCCCATAATCGCACTATTAAATAGACTTACCCATCTAGCCGCCGGCAATGCTGGACCTCAACAGGGTGGCAGCCCTGGGTCTCCCCACGTGACCTGTGGTCGAGGGGTGTGTGTGCAAGACTTGTGCTGAAAAGGAGCAGGGGAGAATTTTTATGCCCCGTGTGCACACTCACCTCCCAGAGGCAAAGAGGAGGAAATGAGCTGCGCATCCCAGTTTATTTTCAGATTCATCTGTCACGTTAACCCCCTTCTGCTTTCCCGGGGAGGAGCAGTGATGGGGGCGTGAGGTGGGCCAAGAGAGGAAAGATCATGTGAATATACTCTCTTCTGAGACTGCAAACTGGGTATTTATTCTGCTTTAATTTTGCTCATCTTGTTTACAAGGTATTCATCTTTGTAAGCCACATACAGTCC